AAATAAATAAATAAATAAATAAATAAATAAATAAATAAATAAATAAATAAATAAATAAATAAATGTCAGTATTTAAAGCAGTGTATGGAGATACCAGAAGCAAGGCTGGTTTGCAAAGCTAGAAAGGTATTGTAGTGAATGGAGTTCATGTAAACTGGATTTACCTATATTTCCTTTTATTTTCTCTTATCTCATGCCTTTATGCTCCATGCTATTTCTGATTCCTGTCCTGCTTTTTTCATAATAACACTTTCCCCAATAGGGAATAGCATGATGGATATGTGTGTGTGCATGTGTGTGTGTGTATTCTTGTGTTTACTGTTTATATTGCAGATTAAACAGAAATTGCCATAAGTGTTGTATTGCCTTTTACAGTTCTAGTGTAATGTAATTAAATCCTTTCTACATTCTCTTTTTCTGGGCATGTCAGCAAATATATGAGAATGCAGCTAATGTTATTGTTGCTTGTCTAACCTCTTGGGTTCTAATGTTTTTCGAGCTTGATATAATTATGGGAAACATTACTCTTGAGTGATGATATAAATCATCCCCATAGGAGTCTGAACAGTTTAGGGAGTAATCTTATAGAACCCTGCTGGGGCAAATAAGATCAGTAACGTGAAATAAATAAAAGAACAGTGGAACTAATGCAAATAACTTGAGAATTCCATTAGATTCACAATGACGATGTATATAATGGCGTAACAGGGTACTGTGTACTGGAAACTTCATTACCTATCACAGTATTTCAGTTCTCATTATATCTTCTTTTCTCCAGAATGTCTGTCAAGTTGGCTGTGCTTCTGGATCTTTCTACCAGATACCTGTTCTTGGAAGGAGAGCTTATTCATATGTGAAATGTGGTATGCGATATAAATTTTTGTAGTTAAACTTAACTCTTGTTTTTGTAGCAAGACAATACAATTAAGATTTATTTATATTTTTTTTGGCATTGGCAATATAGAAGAACAGGAACAAGAAAAAAGTAACAACTGTATTATGATTTTAAATCCCACAAAGATGTTATTTGAAATTCAGTGACAATCAACACAAAGAATGTAGACTGACATCCACCCTCACAGACCCTGCCCCCAGTTTCTGTGCATTTAACTGAAGGTCTGAATATATCCTCTATCTGTACAGTATGTATGCATTTAGGCTCTGTCCAGACCATTGGATGAATATGGAGTGTGGTGGGCAATAAACATAATTAAATTTCCTTTCTATGTACTGGGAATATTGACATTTGATATCAGAAAGAGTCAGTCTGTAAGGAGTGGCAAGAGAACACATGCTTTGCAGGTGGAAAATCCCAAGCTGAAAAAGCCTTGCTTGAGCGTTACTGCCAGCCAGAACAGTCACTACAGGTCTGATGGGTCAAAGGTTATAAAACTATTGAATGTTCCAACAACCGTAGGAAGAAACCCTATTTTTCATTCAACACAACTATAAGACAAAAGCCCACCTATGTATAACTGAAGATGCCATTAGAGTGATGTCAGTGGTGGGTGGGGTATATCCTGTGTGCACACATGTTGAGGACTCAAAATTACATACAACCTGAGTGGGGCATATGATGTTTTTGGACTGATTTGCAATCAGATTAGTGCACATAGAATTTGGACATAAAGTATAAGGTAACCATTTTTTGTTTTGGTCTAGTCTGTTTCTTTATTTGTTATTTTGAATTATGACAACTTGTTTTCAGATATAATGGCATCCAAAAATGCTTTTTGGTTCTCACAAATAGCTGTGACTTGCCTAATTGGTTGTGGTTACAGGAAAATAAATCCTGCAGTTTTAGAGCTTGGTCATGTGTTAAAATTATTAACTACCTACTTTCCTTATTACTAAGTCTGTGCCTCTATTAATGAAATACTATAGATCAGCAACATGCTTGTGGTTTATTTTGTTTTTATGCTTTCTACACATGGTTTTTATATTCCATTGCTGAGCATAGCCAGTTATAGAAGAAACTCTAATTGTTCACAGCTAACTTAAAATAATAGTTGAATGCTGTGTGGATAAGCTCCTGTGATGCCTCTGATTCGTGTGCTCCATTTCTCTCTCTCAGATTGTAGAGGCAGGGACTTAATCAGGATTCAGATTTAGTTTATATGATTTTTGACTTGTTGCATATGAACCAGGACTAGTAGCTGGGGGTTTTTTTTTTGTTTTTTTTTTTTGAGGCCCAACATTTTAGATCATTTTGCTGATTTGACAAAAAGTATGTAAAGTGAAAATTCTGAGCCACCTTTTTCTAGCACTAAAGCTTGTTTGATGTTATGATGAGTGAGCTACTGTCCCTCTCTCTCTCTCTGGTGTTTCTTTGTGATATTTCCAGACAGGATTAAAGACGCCATACGTGATTCTACAAGAGCTGTGCATTTAGATCCTTCAAATCCTGTGAGTAGTAATGAAGTGATTTGTATATTCTAATTGTATGTTTATTGTTTTCCTACAATGGTTGAAGGTCTTCTCATATGGGTTGTTCCTCTCACTTGCTCTGATAGACAGATCCTTACTGAATACTTCATCATTTTGCATAAACCCTGATAGACAGGTTTTATACAAAATGATGAATTGTTCAGTAAGGAAATGAAGAATTACAGAATTTGATTTCTGTGGAGACCCTTAGATCCTCTGTTCTCATAGAAATAAGGAAGGTTGAAGTATTTACTGAGTAAACTAAAGAATTAAAAACTTCTTATATATCCTCCCACTAAGAAACAAAAGAAATAGTAATCTGTCCTTGGAGCTATGCACTTTTAAAAATATTTACTGAAGCACTAGAATTGACAGAACAATTTGTTTCACTTAGGAATTTGCCTAAGTGATATGCATCTCAGGAAAAATTGGTTCTCAGTCAAATTAGCTGAGGTGTCACAGTCTTAATTGCTCTACCTGCATCTGGGCAGCTGATATGATCCGATTAAAAATGCAGGTTATAATATATGGAATGTGTCCCTCAAGCCATTCAATGCCCATATTCAGAGATGTCTGCAGCAGGGGTGAGGTCAAAAAAGGCAAGATGGGGATCATGGCATAACATTTGAAGCCATATCTTTTTGGAACATGCATTGTATGCATGTTCAAAGGAGTAGGGCTTCCTTCATCAAACCATTTCCTTTATAATTTTGCAGGAAAGAAAAAAAATCATTTGTTCAATTATTAAAGATTGATATCTCCCACACATACAGAGTTCTGTCACTCATTGTCTATCCAGCAGTTAGAATTAGGAGCACTATCCCTCTTAAAGCTGATTATAAGATGCCAGCTAGGTTTCTTTTTTCTTGTTTCATTCAGATCTTAGAGTAAAAGATAGCTAGGTTGAGACATTGCAGGATATTATACTTTGTTTTATTCAACATTTGTCATATAAGCCATTGTGACTTCATGATAATGGAAATAATTGCATTTTATTTGTTACTACATTTTGAAAAGCGCTTTAATTCTAGGCAGTTCAAAATGCAATAGACAAGAACTCACAACAATTTGCATATTATGCTTGTGTTGAAGGAGATCTATCAGCTTCAAGTTGGTTTCCTGGTCCAATTTAAAGTGCTGGATTAAATAGCCTAGACCCAGGGTATATAAAAGGTCCTTTTCCTTAATCTTACCCACTAGTTTTGATTAGTATCATAACCTTTCTTTGGTGGTGAGGCTGGGGGGAATCAAAAAGATCACAATATCAGTGGTGTTCTCACTCTAATTAGCTGAGATGCCACAGACTTAATTTTTCTGGCTGCATCCTGGCACCTGACATCAAATTAAACATGCAAGTTGTGATATGTGGACATTGTCCCTCAAGGGACTACAAGGAGGCTATTTGTAAATTTCTTCCTTGGATATGTCTGCAATCCCCTACCATAATATGTTTTAAATAAGGCTGCTATTCTTTTCACTTTTAAATGCTTTTAAAAAGTTGGTTTATTAAGTCCATCTGCTTCTGAGATTAAAGTTAGGCCATATTTTTGCTGTTTTCTGTTTTCATTATTGCTAATATATCTATATCTACTGTATATACACACATATACACACACAGTTAAAAGAATTCCCCTCTCACCCCTATGGGTGGAACGTGTCTTCCTCAATCTCGGGTCCTCTACCAGAGGCCTGGGAGTTTGAGGGTTCTGTGCA